TTCTCCTTTTCCTGGGTCTGCAGGGAGTGGGGAGAGAAGAGAAGGTGTTGAGAGCCAAGCCTTCCATGGCTGCAAAGGTCACCTGCCCTCCCTCCTACCTCCTGCAGACTCTGACTGGCTGGAAGATGAGAGCGAGGAGGGAATGGCCAAGAAGCTGTACCTCTACTGATCTCAGGAGGCTAGCGGATTCCCAGAGGATGCGGTGCGTGACCGCAGAGCTGCGGCTGGGCAGGTTAATGGACACATGCAGATTCAGATCCTCATGGTCAGGGACATCCCTCTGGTATTGGGCCAAGGCTTGGAACACCATGAAAGTGGCCTAGAACCCATGAGAGAAGAAGAGGGTGATTTGAGAGACAGACAGAAGCAGCCAGAACCTGCTGGGGGATGAAAAGTTTCAGCTTAGAGCTGGGCCACTGAGACTGTGGCCTAAAATGCACCAGAGGGGATGAGAATAAGAATGGGGGTTGTTATATACTGAGGACATGTTCTAGAACTCTCTCAGTGAGAGAGGCTCAGTTTAGTGCTTGGTGACACTAAGATTGTGACCTAGCCGGGACCAGAGGGCACAAGGGTAAGACTGGGGGTCATTAGACACTGAGGACATCTCCTAGAATTCTCCAAGGGACAGAGGCTTACACCAGAGTGTGGAGACACTGAGCATGTCTAGATACATGAGAAAGTGCAGGCATAAGACTGAGGGTCTAATATGCCTAGCCCGTGGACACTGGCAATAAGGTAGGGAAGACCTGAGGGGCGAGGAGGGGCTGGAAGGAGTGAGGTGGGATGGGGATGAGAGATATCTGTAATATCTTCAACAATAAAAATATATTAAAAAATGAATAAAATAAAAACATGCCAACAGCTGCTACAACAACAACAAAAAACCCCCACAAAAAAACCAAACAAACACAACAACAACATGTAAGGTCTAGTAACACTGAGAATGTGGTCTAGATCCATCCAGAGAAGAGAGTCTAATACAGGGTTTGCAGACACCGAGAATGTATCTAGAGCAGCCATGGGCAAACTACGGCCCGCGGGCCGGATCCGGCCCATTTGAAATGAATAAAACTAAAAAAAAAAAAGACCGTACCCTTTTATGTAATGATGTTTACTTTGAATTTATAGTTCACACAAACACTCCATCCATGCTTTTGTTCCGGCCCTCCGGTCCAGTTTAAGAACCCATTGTGGCCCTCGAGTCAAAAAGTTTGCCCATCCCTGATCTAGAGCCCATTTGTGCATAAATAATAAAGTTGGAATCTGGGTACAACTGAGCATATAATCTAGAATCCAAAAGTGACACTGAGCCCTGGCCAGGTGGCTCAGTTGGTTGGATCACTGTCTCATGCATCAAAAGGTTGCAGATTCCATCCCCGGTCAGGACACATATGGGAAGCTATCCATTGATGGTTCTCTCTCACATCAATATGTTGTTTTCTCTCTCTCTCTCCCTCTTTCTTTATCTCTCCCCCTTCCTCTCTCTCTAAACCCATAAACATCACTGGATGAGGATGTTTTAAAAAATCCGAGAATACCACCAGAGAGAAAGGGGATCAAATTGAAGCCTGAGCTTGCTAGATTTGAGGTTGATGAAACCATGATCTAGAACCCAGCTGGAAGAGAGCAGGCTTTGACAATACTCTAGAAAACTGAGAACATGATGTAGAACCCATAGAAAGACTAGGTAACACTGGGAGCCTTGTGGAACTGAGTGCATGGTCTAGAACCCGCCAGAGGGAGAGATGAACTTGATGATTCCCTATAATAATTGAGAATTGGTCTAGAACCCACCAGTGAAACAGAATAAGATGAGAGGCCTGGTGGAACTGGAAACATGGTCTAGAACCCATCAGAGAGAGCTCACCCTTGAACCCTGGCCTTGAGAATGTGATCTGGATACCAGGACGGAAAGGGAGCTCAAAAGACAACTTGGGGCATCCAGAATCCATAAACAGATTTGTAACCAAACCAAAACACAGCAAAAACCTGATTTCTCAACTTCATTTCAATCAACTGCCTCTCTTGGTCTCAGCATCTTATCTGGGTGGCCAGCCAGGCCAGAGGAGGTAAGGATGCATTTGCCTGGGGGATGTGGGACCACTTGCCTGGGTGGAGCCATAGCCACCTCCGTAGTATCTCTGCTCGTTGAGCCAGCGCACAACAGGAGGTACAGAGTCAAAGTCTTTGAGCAGCAGCAGAGCCAACAGGGCATAGGATGTGGCCTCTATAGTGTGGAGCCTTTGGCCAGGCTCCTCCCAGCGGTTCTTATCTACGAGAGAGAACACCAGCCCCCATGCTCACTGCTCTGTCCAGCCTGGAGGTAGTTCAGAGAAAGCTCAGAAACAGACTTGTACTAGACCTCTTGGTGTTCAGGTGTCCTGGCCCACATTTGTGGCTTTCAGTCTGCTGGTTCCTGCCTTACTCTCTTCCCTCATCAACCTTTACTCTTTTGTTTAAATTCTGAACTGCAGCTCCTCTGATCTATGGGAGCAGATTCCCTAAGTTTTCCATGCTCATTCTTGCCTCTGAGCCTTTGCGTGTTCTGTTCTCCTTTCTTGAAGCACCTTTTCTCCACCTGGCACAATTCGGCTTCAATGGCACCTAAGACAGAGTGAGACCTTTCCTTCTGTCTCTGAAGCATCCTGTGCTTCTCCTGTCCCAGCACTATGATGCTCTACAGAAATCTATTAACTCAATTTCTTTCCTCAACTGGAACGTGAGGCCATGATGGCAGGGGCTGTGCCATATTCACTGCAATGTCCCAAGTGCCTAAGAAAGTACTCATGACAGAGACTGTCACCAAGAACCATTCCCTCCTCTTCCTGGGCACAGAGTTGGACTACATCTGCCAGAGGCCTTTGCAGGTAGGTATGACCACATAACTGAGCTCTGGCTAATGGAATGTGCAAGGCAATTGATGGGGCCCCTTGCATGGCTGGTCTACCTCCCTTGCACAGTCTTCCTGACTGTTTCCTTCTGCTTTAATAGAAGGGATTCTGAGGCCCCGAGGTGGCAGAGCCATGAGAAGATAGAGCCTGGGTCCCTGCATCACTGTATAGAGGAGAGCTGCTTCACCCTTTCCAATCTAGGACCTCTTGGGGGATGTCTGACTGTGGTTTAGGCCTGATCCCTGGGATTGGGCCTAATCTGGCAGTTGGACATCCCTCTCAAAATCTGGGACCACTGGCTCCTAACCACTCATCTGCCTGCCTTCCTGATTGCCCCTAATACCTCTGCCTGCCTACCTGATCACCCCTAACTGCCTCTGCCTGCCTGCATGATTATCCCTAAACTCTCTGCCTGCCTGATCGCCCCTAACTGTCTCTGCCTGCCTGACTGCCCCTAACTACCTCTGCCTGCCTCCCTCATCTCTCCTAACTGCCCTCCCCTGCCAGCCTGATCTTGGCCCTAACTGCTCTCTCCTGCTGGCCTGTTCACCCCTAACTGCCTCTGCCTGACTGATCACCCCTAACTGCCCTCCCCTGCCAGTCTGATCTCGCCCCCAACTGCCCTCCTCTGCCATCCATTTTGGTTCTGATTGGTAGTTTCTATGTAGGTCAGCGTCAAAAGTTCCGTCGCCTAGGCAGCCATTGGCTCCTCACAGTTGACCCAGATTTGGTTCTGATTGGCCAGTTTCTATGCCAGCCAGCGTATCTGGGCCTACCAACGGGGCCTTATCAGAGGGGCAGGGCTGATCAGCAGCCCCAGTGGAGACCTGGAGTGAAATGGAGGTGGAGCTGTTGGCCAGGCTGGGAGAGAAAGAAAGGCAAGTTCTGATCAAGGGCTGCCACAGAGGCTATGGATCAGAACCTGCCTCTCTCTCTGCAGGTCTCTCTCCTGGCCTGATCTGCAGCCCCCTAGTCAGTCAGTGCTGGATCAGGGCACCTGCAGTGGCCCCAGTCAGTGCTGGGTCACCATGGCAACCCAGCACTGACTTCCGGTCTGGTAGACCCTTCGGTGGTAATGTTACAATCCTGCTCTTTATTATATAGATAGTAAAGGCAATAACAACATCAGTGATAGATCTCTTACTATGTGCTAGACATTCTCCTAACCACATCACTCATTTAATCTTCACATCATTCTTGTGATGTAGGTATCGTTTTATACACAATGTCCATAGAGGTTAAGTGGATTGTACAAGATCACACCGTGAGAATGTAGTAGAGGGTGATTTGATTTTGAACTTGAATCTGTCTGATGTCAGAGCTCATGTCCTTGCTCCTGTGTCATAGCAAGTACTCAACAAATAGTTGTTGAATCATGCAATGGACCTATTGTGTCATGCTTGCAATGAGGACTTTTCACACCCAGGCTCACTCTTCCCAGCTCAGCTTGAAGCCATGCAGCCCGGTTTCCCCCAGCCACATATCTCTCCTTTCCCACCAGGCTGCCTCTCACCTGTGGCTGCTTTCAGAAATGTGTTGAGGAGAGGGCCCTCCAGCTTGCCCAACTGGGCCAGGGCATAGCCAGCAATGGCCACAGCATACGGTCTCTTCAAGTTCATGTAGTGTGCTTGAATGAAGTCTCCGGCCTTATTGATGCTGCCCCCAAGGCTCTATGAGAAAAATATTGGGTACTCTGGTCAGGTGGGCACTGCTGCCCCAGAGAGCTGACAAGGATCACACAATCACCACTTCCTGGGCATAAGGTTTCTTGCCTTGGTACATATTTGTCTTGGATCTGTCTATTTTTAAGGGTTCCCCTGACAGTTTAGCCACTGTGCACTGCTCTGTTACTGAGTACCTATCATGTTCCTGGTGCAGTTTGTATACCAGTGGTGTGCTAATAAATATTTAATAACCAGTTGTCTAGTCAGTGCAGGGCGTGAGGGTTTGGGGAGCTAGCTTACTGATTGCCAATGACTGTGGTGTAAATACTCCCACCATGCTAATTTCAAGCTACCAGTGTGACATACCTTAACAGAGTGGGAAAGAGATGCCCCAAATAGGCACCCAGGGTTAACACACCACTGGGTTCACCTATTATCTAATCATCATCGTCATTGTAGCTAACACTATGTGCTAGTCACATACCCACTTATCTAATCTCAAAATCCTATGAGGTAGGTTTTATGTTCATCACCATCCCTACTGCACAGAGAACACTGAGACCCATGAGATGAGTGCAGAGGCAGATATGCTTTGTAGTGTTTGCTGATTTTTATAGTGTAAATACAACCACGGCTGATTTCAACCTACCAGTATGGAGTCACTGACTGTAGAATTGGGAAGAGATTATAAAGTATGTCCACTGTATAGGTACAACAGACATAAATAACCTCAAGATCATGGATGATGATAAAAGGTAGTAAAATAATTAAGAAGTGATGAATTTTTAGTGTTTACTACCTTTATTGTTGTTTTTTCTTAAGTGATTTGCCTTACCCTGTTTTTTACATAATGTAGCTTACACATGTGTTACATCTAGAACTCAGAGAGTCCTAAAAATACAAAAATTATTATACCCATTTTACAGATGCACACACTGAGGCCCAGTAATGGGACGTCCCTGAGAGTAATGATCTAAATGTACGTCTGTCTGACCCCACTGCCCTAGAGCTGTCTCTTTTCTATCATACTTTATTTCAAATCTGCAAGGATTAAAACAAGGTTCCTCTGGCCTTAAAGGTAATAGCCTTTCTCTCCTCCCTCTCTTTTCTGGGGTCCTGAGGAGGGAGAAGCAGCTGTTGAAGTTAGGATCCTGGAGTTCCCCACTTGGAAAGCTAAAGGTCAAACAACCGGCTCTCAAAACCCTAGGACAGCGGTTCTTAACCTGTGGGCTGACCCCTTTGGCGGTCGAACAACCCTTTCACAGTGGTCACCTAAGACCATCCTGCATATCAGATATTTACATTACGATTCATAACAGTAGCAATATTACAGTTATGAAGTAGCAACGAAAATAATTTTATGGTTGGTTCACAACATGAGGAACTGTATTTAAAGGGCCAGAAGGCTGAGAACCACTGACCAAGAACAAAGCAGATGCCGAGATTACAGAACCTCCACAATCCCTGTGCCTGGGTAGGAGAGGGGAGGGCAGGCACACTTACGTTGATCTGTCCCTCGCAAATATCTTTAGCCTCCTGCAGTGCGATGAGAATGAAGGCTGTGAGGGACACATCTTTCTCCTCAGCATCATTCAAGCCACCCTAGGGTGTGGAGGAGGGAGTAAGGATGGGGTCACCCATGTGCCCCTCATGCCAATCACGCTCCCTGTAGGATCAGCGGGGCAGGGCAAGGGTGGGTCTCTCCCCAGTGTCTCAGAGGAGGGCCGTACTCTAGTATCCATTCACTCAGTCACTCATTCTGTAAATGTTGCTGGTGTTGTGGGTAAGATGGCTCCAGCCCTCATGGAGCTCCCCATCTCGTAGGAGGGACAGGCATGAACTAACCAGCTCATCACAGATATATCATTACAAACTGTCCAGAGCTGCACAGAAGTGGATGTGGCGGTGAGAATGGATAGGGGGTGGGTCTGAGAATTGATAGTGGGGGTGTGTCTTGGTCAGGGCCGTTGGAAAGGTGTCCCCAAGGGATGACAGGTGGAGCCACAATCTGAAGAGTGATTAGGACTCAACTGTCAGAGGGCAGCGGAAACATGCCAGGCAGTGGGAACAGCATGTGCAAAGGCCCTGTGCCCAGGAGCAAGGCTCCAGCAGTACAGTGGAGTGTGGAGAGGGAAGGCTGCGAGGCTGGAAGCCCGAAGGTCAGACTGAAGCGGTGGTTTGCTCACTTGAGCACACGTCAGCATTACCTGGAGTCGGGGGCTTATTAAAACCCCAATTCCTATGCCCCACCCCCAAAGTTTCTCATTCATGCATCTGGGATCCAGCCCAAGAATGTCCATTTCTAACAAACTTATAGCTGATGCTGGTGCTTTTGGCCTGGATACCAGAGTTTGAGAACCACAATTCTAAGGACTTCTCAGATTTAATGAAAGCAATGGGGGAGGGGGCTAGGGAACTTTCATTTTGCACTGGGCCCTGAGGTCTCTGGTTTTTGCAAAGGAGAAGTGACATTCATGGCTCCCTTATTTCTCTGTCCATCCCAGGCTGGGAATTGGGCAAATGGCAGACGGAGCCTGTCTCCTGTCCATGTGGGGGCACTCAGGCAGTCCTCTCCCCAAGCCTGAATCCCGGCCTCTTACAGTCATTTGTGGTTGTCCCACAGGTGAATCCTCCTGGAAGACTCCATCAGGCCTCTGCTTCTCCAGGATCAGCCATTTGATAGCCCCACAGATGACTTCGGAATCGATGGCGATGAGGTTGGTGGCCAGAGAGAAGACCTTGACCACGTAGGCTGTCAGCCTGGGGATGGGCACAGAGCATGAGCTAATTGGCTCTGGGATCCAGAGACTGCCATCCCAGCCAAGCAAGGAGCAGAGTGGGGCAGGGCCTGCTCAGGTGTGCCCAGTATCCCGGGCCAGGTCTCAGGACCCAATGTTGCTTATAGGCACTGCTTAGTGACGGTAGGTCACTCAACTAGTGGGCACCTTGACTCTGAAGGTGGAGGGGTCCAGAGGCACAGCGCTGTGTGTGGGAGGCCAGCCTAGATCACCCCAGGCCAGGGCCCAGGCCCTGCTCAAGGGGTGCAGGGCCAAGGATGGGCAGGCTCACCAGGTGCTGGACTTCCGACTCTGGTAGGCCGCAAAGGCCTTGTTGGGATGTCTGTAGCTCAGTTGCGTTGTGTACCCTGCAAGGAAGAGAGAGGTGTCACTGGGGGAGTGAGGGCTGAGTGGAGGCAGTGGCTGGTGTGGGTATGCCAGGAAGGAGAGAGGCTTAGAGAGGAAACAAGAATTCTGTGAAGGGGGGAAGGTGAGGTTCAGAGAGGAAAGTGGGGACTCAGGTAAAGGAGGAATGTCTGGAGGGGAGGGGAGCTTATAGGGTGGAGGGAACTCTGCAAGGGTGCAGGGATCAGAGTGAGGAGGAGTAAAAGCTTCTCAGAGGAGAGGGGGTTCAGAGAGAGAAGGGCTCTCAAGGGAGTTCATTGGGAGAGGGAACTCCGAGTAACCAGGGTCTCACAGAGGGGAGAGCAGGATGTCTCAGAGAAGGGGCGGGGCCTCAGAGGAGGATGGAGCTCAGAGAGGGGCCTCAGAGTGGGGGCCTCCAATAGGGGAAGGGGACATACCCTTCTTGATGAGCTCCACAGACTCCTGCCGCTTGCCAATGCCAAGCTTCTCCCACTGCTCAGAGTGGTCCAGGTAGTGCACCGCGATGACCGTGGGCGTCATGCGGATCATGTTCTGCTCTCCACAGCCCCCGGGGGTCACAATGAGGTGTTTCAGCCGCTCCCCATCAATGGCGTCCTCTGCCATCTGGGCCACTGGGGTCCCTGCAGCCAGGAAGAAGGATGGCGTTCAGGCAGCAAGACCTAATGTGGGCTGAAGAGAGTCGGTGCTGCCCCCAGCCTTCCCAAGCTCCAACCAGCCAGGGCCAAAGAGTCAGGGAATCAGGGACAGCTGGCGGCTGGAGGCATGTGACTGAACGGGGCAAGGGGGGGTTGTCCCTGAGTCCTCATGTGTCACCAGTAGTAAAGCCAGCCTTCCCAAGCTCCAACCAGCCAGGGCCAAAGAGTCAGGGAATCAGGAACAGCTGGCGGCTGGAGGCATGTGACTGAACGAGGCAAGGGGGGTTGCCCCTAAGTCCTCATGTGTCACCAGTAGTAAAGTAATTCTAGGAACAATGGTCATGAATACGTCTATCATGCTTAATGCCATTTGCCATTTGCCAAGCTCCCTTCTAAGAGAACACTATATAGCATCTCATTTAATTTTCCCAACAATCCTCGAAACAGGTACCACTATTTGCCTTCATCACAGATCAGGAAACCAAGAGTTTCTGTCCCAAACCTAAGAGCTCAGAGGTTGCAAGGGGCTTTGCTAGCTCCTTCCTGTGCCTTCTCCTCCCAGTCCTCCATCCTGGGCAATTCGTTCCAGAATTTCTGTTCTTGAACTCTATCACTTCTCATTGAAGCTTCTTTATCAGCAGAAGCTAAGTACTGCCTGCAGCCTTCTGTGAGCACATCAAGGAGGCTGTTCTAGCACAGGAGAAGGAGAGAGGCGCCCTGGTTCAATATTTCCGGCAGTGATGGGACCGGGAGCCCTCTTGAGGGGTCATGGCTCCCACACCTTCCTGGGCCCCACGGGGTTGGACCAAGGCCATCTCACCCTGCAGGAGGATCCTGGTTTCTGATTCTGTGTCAGGGACTTGGTCACTGAGGTCAGCAGCTTCGACCTCCACTCGCTGCACACCGTCTGTCGGTGGAATTGGAGACACCCTTGGCACCAGCCTCTTTTCACCAGGCCCTGCACACCACCCAGGCCTCACCCCACTCCTGCGCTGACTCACTCTGGCCCAGGTGTTGTGGATCCAGTGTCTTAACGGCCACAGTCTTGTTCATTCTGATTCCTTCAGGCTAGACAGTGTTGAGGGAAGGGGGAGTTGGTTGAACAAAAGGACAGACAGAGCCACAGCTGGTCAGCAGGGCATTGTTCTGGGGATTACTGTAGCCTAGATGGCATCTGCCAGTCTTAGCTGTGTGACTGGGAGCCAGTTACTCAACTTCTCTGTGTCTCAGCTTCCTTCCTTATAGGGAGAAGGCAATACAAACATCTACCTCATACTATTGTACAATATAATAACAACATTATAAATTAATAACAATAAAATAGTCAAGCCTTTAGAAATCTTCCTATGTGCCTAGAAGCTTCCTTTATTCTGATTAACTCATTTAATCTTTATAATAAGGTACTGCTATTATCATTCCCATTTCAAAGATGGGGAATTGGGCCCTGGTCAGTATGGTTCATCTGGTTGGCCATTGTCCCATACACAGAAAGGCAGGTTTCAGGCTTGATCCCAGGTTTCAGGCATGCAGGAAGCCGCCGATGGATGTATCACTCTCACATTAATGTTTCTCTCTCTCTCTTTGCGTTCTCTCTCTTTCTCTCTCTTAATAAAAGTTCTTAAAACAAAACAAAACACATAAACTTATAATGATGGTAAAATTGGAGAACAGAGAGCTGAAGTAACTTGCCCAGAGCCACTCACCTAGTAGAACAGAACTGGAATATGAGCCTGGCAGTCTGGCTCTAGAGTCTGTTTTCAACCCAATGCCTCTCAATGGGTTAAATAACATAAAAATAAAATGGAATTTTAAAAATTAAATTAAATTAAAAAATAAATTGCAATAATTAATTTAAAATAAGTGAAAAAAATACAAAAAGTAAACATATTAAATTAAAATTTTAATTAATTAGTACTTGTTTTAATCCTTACCTGAGGATGTTTTTATTGATTTTTAGAGATATAGGAAAGGAGAGAAAGAGAGATATTGAATCAAGAGAGAAACTTTGGTTGCCTCCAGTATATACACTGACTGGGGATAGAACTTGCAATCTGGGTATTTGCTCTGACTGGGAATCAAACCCTCAACCTTTCCGTGCATGAGATGACTCTCTAACTATATGGGCCAGGGCTAAAATTAACTTTTTAAACAAATTATTTAAATAAATAATAAAATAAAAGACTGTGCTTAAGTACTTAGCAGTGTATGGGGCTATCTGAATTAGCATCAAAGTCCCAACACAAGTCCTCATATGTCTTCAGGTAAGTCTTTACTGTGGATACACCTTTTTTTGCCTTCCAGAACCCATTCTCCTTTCACCTGGTAATAAATCCCAGATTTTCCTTTGCAGACTGAGTTTCTTCACAAAGTGTGCTGGTAAATATTTAAATCCAGCTGTCACAGAAGAACAAATCCAGACTTGCAGCACTATCAATTTCCTTGGTGTAAATATCCCCACCGTGATGGATTTCAAGCTACCAGAGTTAGTGAATACAGAATTGGGAAGAGCTGGCCACGCAGGTTTCAGCACTATTTGGTTTTTCTTTCCCACCAGTGCCTATGCTGGGCCATATTGGGATCCAAGGCAAAAGAAAAAAATGTGTGCCCCTAAATATATACTTGAATGTATTTTTTTAAAATTAAATCTTTATTGTTCAGATTATTACAGTTGTTCCTCTTTTTCCCCCCATAGCTCTCCTCACCCAGTCCCCACCCCACCCTCTGCCCTTACCCCTCCCACTGTCCTCATCCATAGGTGTATGATTTTTGTCCAGTCTCTTCCTGCACCCCACACCCCTTTCCCCCCAGGAATTGTCAGTCCACTCCCTTTCCATGCCCCTGGTTCTATTATATTCACCAGTTTACTCTGTTCATCCAGCGCACGGATTTTGTGCACTGGGCCTCTAGTTAATAATAAATCATTTAACCCTATTACTTAAAGAACTAGAAGGAGAATAACAAGAAAAGCCCAGAGTAAGTAGAAGGAAGGAAATAATAAAGATTAGAGCAAAAATAAATGACATAGAGACTAAAAAAAATACAAAAAACCCAATGAAACCAAGAGCTGATTCTTTGCAAAGATAAACAGGATTGATGAGTTGTTAGCCAGACTCATCAAGAAACAAAAATAGAGGACCCAAACAAAATGAAATGAATGCAGAGAAGTAACCACTGACACCACAGTAATACAAAGGGTTGTAAGAAAATACTATGAACAACTATATGCCAACAAGCTGGGCAAGGTGGATGAAATGGACAAATACCTAGAAAAATACAATCTCCCAAAACTGAATCAGGATGAATCAGAAAACCTGAATAGGCCAATAACAACTGAAGAAATAGACGCATTAATTTAAAAACTCCCAGCAAACAAAAGCCTGTGTCCAGATGTCTTCATAGGGGAGTTTTACCAAACATTCAAAGAAGAACTAGCACCTATACTCCTCAAACTATTAAAAAAAATCCAAGAGGAAGGAGCACATCCAAGCTCCTTTTATGAG